CAAATCTAATGCACTGGGGACTAGGATCAGTCTGCTGATTCTAAGTCTGGCCCAGATACACTCTTTGATCAATTGCTGATGCTTACTCAGGACTGCCAATCTTTTCTGCCTATTTTAATTAAAGATATCAAATACCAGTACCTTTAATACTCAAGATGTACATCCTAAAACACCTGTAGACGACTCTAAGATATCCTACAAGGTGTTAGCAGTTTTCATAGGCCCACCAAATGATAGCTCAACAAAGCAGAAAGAACTTAGAAGAACCAATTTCTAAGAAAACTTGATGATCTTTATAGGCTACCCTAAATATTTTGAAATATCTCATGCTGCTTTAGCTGTGTGGATTTCCTTTCCCTATATTTTTCTTTTTTATTTTTTTTCCAAAGATTTTATTTATCCATTTCACAGAGAGAGACAGTGAGAGAGGGAATACAAGCAGGGGGAGCGGGAGAGGGAGAAGCAGGTTTCCCACTGAGCTGCGAGCCCGACGCGGGGCTCGATCCCAGTACCCCGGGATCATGAGCTGAGCCAAAGGCAGAGGCTTAACAACTGAGCCACCCAGGTGCCCCTCCATGTATTTTTCAATAGCAAAATCTGTTCAAATATATGTGTGTGTTGCAGGTACGGGGTTGAAAGGGATGGTTTCCAAATTCACAAAGAAAGAATATCTGTAAACACATTTAAACAAAGCAGGTTTGGGAACTGTAATTTTTACTTCTCTGATGCTGACCATATGATAATTACATTTCCCCTAAAATAAAAAATAAAAATAAAAGAGAGGGCTATAGAATTTAACTCTACCAAACATTTGGGCTGTGTGGATTCTTTTATTACACTGTAAATATTTTGCATATGTCTGGAGCAAGCACCAGTAATTAGGCCATAATGGTAACTTGTCACTCTTAAACACAACAGCTGTGTGTATTTGGAAAGATTAAGAACTAGATTGTTCAGTAATTCTGGGAGCCCTGTTTACCAAGCTAAGATGGCTAGCAAGACTCTTACTGTTTACTTGATATGATGTACTTGTTATTTTATTAAATATTTAAGACTGCATAGTTTAAAATTTTATACAGAAAGCTTTTTACCTAATTTTGAAGAGACTTAAAGGAGTATTTCTAAGGCTATAATTTTAATTTAATTCTTTATAGTGCCCAATAACATGCCACATACAACTTGGTGCGTGACATTTCTTTTTGTAATCAATCATGACCCATTACACCTATACACACACATATTTTAGTATTAAAATTTATTTTCTTGGTTATTCCCTGTAATTGTTCAGGAAGTAGTATTTCTGTTTTATAGACAAAGGTATAAATATTCAAGTATGCTGCACAAGCTAAAAATCACATGAGAGTAGAATGAGTAGCAGAACATGATTAATTTTGTATTTACAGATCAGTGAGCCTCAAACATCTTTGTTTCTGGGCTGTTTTTCTGGTGAGATGTTTGCTGTGTTTCCTGATGGAGAGACTCCAAATGCACATTTTATACTAATATAAGTTGAGAGCAGAATAAATTGTTAGTGAGAATGATCACCTCTTCCAAATAAAATCCAGGATTCAAAAACAAACATAACTGAGATTCATTTAATTCTGGAACATCAGGACAGAGTAAACTGATAAAATAATAAGCAAAATAAAGTTTGTTAGTGACTTTTCTGATTTTTGTGGTTCACTGTACGTCATGTTCATTTTGCTAAACAACTTTGGAAAACTTACCAGCAGAAATGTAAAGTACAGATCGTACTCACTGAAGTAACATAAATTAACATTACCCAGATAGTAAATTTTAATAAAACCCATTTTAAATTGGAACAGATAAGCCCATTTGGAAGGTGCTATCAATTACTCAACCAGCAAGGGCACTGAACATCTATTTTATGTTCATCAGTGGTCTAGGCTGATGAAGAGATATGAGAGAGAAAATGAAATGTTCTTTGCTTTCAAAGGATTTATAATCTAGTTCTTAGTGACAATTTTGTTTCACGATGGTGGATAAAAGCTTTAGATGTTCCTGGATATCCTTCTTAAGAGAACCAAAATCTGTCAGAATCACATGACTTTTTGTGAAATACCATGTGTATACTGAAAATATTTGCTGTAAACGGCATCCTTACTGTATTGTATTCAGTGAGTGAAGATTCCATATACCTGTTTGAAACACCTCAGTGTGGAAGAAGCCTTGACCAACTATGTGAGAACTTCTTCACCCTCAGAAAAGAAAAATAATATTGGTTCTGCCTCCTGGTGCTGGCAAGGAACACAAGATAATGAATATGCAAGTGCACACCGAAGATTTCCAGGCCATTTCTAAACAGATTTCCAAACCATCAAAGAGCCAAGCATTTAAATGAAGCAATTAAGCTTTAGGAAAACAACATAAAAATAAAATTTGACTAAAAAAATAAAATTTGAGTAACTATTCAACCTTATTGGGCATTCTACCCAATCATCTTCCTATTTTCTACCCAGTCTAAACTGCTTTCTCTTGATGTTTTGGTTTTATTTTTTTAAGATTTTATTTTTAAGTAATCTCTACACCCAATGAGCCCAAGGCAGACGTTAACTGACTAAGCCACCCCAGGTGTCCCTTAGCAGAGATAATTTCATAAATTCTATAAAGTTGAATTTATATTGTTGTGATGTACTTGAAAGTTGCACTTTTGAATTAGTAATTATCAAGGTAAATAAACTAATATTTTTATCATTGAAAACAGGATACGATCTGTAAGGAAAATACAGTTTTTAGAGCTTGCTCATTGTTTATATGCCATGAAAAAGCAATTTACTAAACACAGAGAAGAAGATCTTGGTGAAAGATATAAAAATAAAGTAGCCTACATTAGTGAAACAATCTTCTATTGAATTCAATATATGGAGAAATTATGTGCAGAATAATTCCATTTTAGGACCTAGAAAATGGGAGGAGAGCTTTTTCTGAGTCAGTTTAAAAACTGCATAAACTGCTATAAAAGTTAATAACAGGTGAGTAAAATAATGAGGGCCAAACAGGAGTTTCCGTAGTTTGCCTAAATCTGCTCAATCTTAACCATTTTAAAAGATATCTATCTTCAGGGGCGCCTGGGTGGCTCAGTCGTTAAGCGTCTGCCTTCGGCTCAGGTCATGATCTCAGGGTCCTGGGATCGAGCCTACATCGGGCTCCCTGCTCAGCGGGAAGCCTGCTTCTCCCCCTCCCGCTCCCCCTGCTTGTGTTCCCTCTTTTGCTGTGTCTCTCTCTGTCAAATAAATAAATAAAATCTTAAAATAAAAAAAAGATAGAGTTTCTACATTAAAAGGGTCTGCCAAGTGCCCAGAGCAAAGATTTCCAAATATTTCAGTGTTTTTTTGGGGGGGGGGCTGGGCGGAAGGATAATTTCGGGCCACATTTTTGGATAATATATTTATATTACTGCTTTTTGAGTCTGCAGAATTAGGCATTATCTACTGACTTCCTAACATGGCAGATTTAGATTCAGTACTGCTTCACCATTACCCCTTCATATCTACCACTCTTCTCATCCTCACATCCACCTTGTATAATTATATTACAATTTTGGTTAAATCAATATTCAATATTTACATTGTTATGACAATGTAAAAACTATTCACAGCTGAACTATGTAATATTTTATAATTTTTTCTTTCCTGCATAACCTTTTGTTTTCCTTAATCTTTCTTTACTTGCAAAATTGCGAAGTTCATGAAAGAGAGATTCAAACAGTCATTAAGAAACAGTCCCCTCCTCTGATCTGCTATCCTTGCTTCTGAGTTACCCTCATTCTCAGCCAAGCACCCCGAGCAAGCAGACTCTAAGCAGCTCTACCTCAAACTAGCAGTGTAGAAAAACCTCAGCAGATAAAGGGAATCTTTTTCTCAACAGCTGCAGTAAGAGAATCAATCTCTTACTCAAGAGGATGTGCTACCCTTTCTGTTCTCCTGAGTCATCATCACTTTAGCTAGGCGTGGAGTCAAGTTTTATCTGAGCCTCAAGGCTTGAGAATAAGGCAAAGAGTCTCAGCAAATAAAGAAAACAGGCTGAGAAAAATTTTATTTTACCTTTACATCTGTAACAAAAGCATAGTTCAAACTCAACAGTTAGTCCTAGAATTTTACAGGCTAGAAAGAACAAGAATAAGTGATTGCCTCTGGGTTGAGGAAACATTATATAAACCAACTTTTCAAAGTTTAAAATTGTCCAGGAGATAATAGCATTATGATTTTAGAGCTAATTGAGGGATTTTGTACTGATACTCAAAAAGCAGAAATGACTATATTAATCAAAATTAAGGCAAAATGAATTTATGGCATCTTTTAATATCACAAACATGTTTTATTTTTGTTTTTAAGTAGGCTCCATGCCCAGTGTGGAGCCCAGTGCAGGGCCTGAACTCACGACCCTGAGATCAAGACCTGGGGTGAGATCAAGAGTCGGATGCTTATCCGACTGAGCCATCCAGGTGCCCCACAAACATGCTTTTATTCAGTTCAGCTGATCTTTTAAATGTTGCATTTAATATTATTTTTGATGACTATTGTGACCTACACAACCTATTCAGTGAGGCAACCAGTGACGTTATGTATTAGTACTTAGGCTACTCTACCACTGTGTGAGACTTTAGCCAAACAATTTTGGTCAATCTCTCTCTCTCTCTCTTTTTTTTTTTCTTTTAGGGGCAGAGGGAGACGGAGAGAGAGAATCTTAAGCAGAGCCTGACCTGGGCTCACTCTCACGACCCTGAGAGCATGACCTGAGCCGAAATCAAAGAGTTGGACGCTCAACTGACTGAGCCATCCACGTGCCCCACAAACAATTTTGGTTCCTAAGGAGGCAAGGCCATCTTTATTTTCCCTTCTTTTTTGGTAATATGTATCTTTTAGCAAATTAAAAGTCCTTAGCTGTACGTCAAATTTTTTGCACTGTAATAGGATCAAGAGGGTTAACTGAAAAAAAAAAAAAAAGTACCAGCAGAATTTCAAAAGTAATGAACAGGTGCTTGCTTCAGCAGCAGATACTAAAATTGGAACAATACAGAGAAGATTAGCATGGCCCCTGCACAAGGATGATACACAAATTCATGAAATGTTCTCTGTATAAATAAAAATAAATAAAATGAATAGATCCATAGTTCAGATATCCTCTTAGTAGTGCCTTCCACCAATCCTTAGTGTTGCCATATTTATATTTGTTTTATGATTCTTTTATTAGTCTCTCTGAGGTATGGCTATATTTATATCTAAGCTTACAACTAAAAATGTTCATTATGCATTTATTTATCAGTGTTAAGAGGACTATGATGACCACTTTTAGTTTATGACAATATGACCTTGCCATTTGCAAATAATGATAATAACAACAGTTAACAGTAATTCTCACAAAAGCTCTACGAGTTAGATACTATCATTATTCCCAGTGTACTGATGAGGACACTGAAAAAGAAGACAGAAACTTACTCAAGGCAATACTACTAGATAGTAAGAGCCCACCTGGTCTGAACCCAAAGCCTACACAAGGTAATAAACTGTAAGACAGCATCCATGGGGATGTGATAGCCTACCTACTTCTAATAATACCTGAAAAAGAAAGACACCAAGATGCATTTGGTACAGCATACGTAACAAGCCAAGAGGTCTATAACTTGACCAAAAAGGTCACGTTGTGATGGTTTGTAAGTGGAAGAGACTACTCCTTGAGTCCATCTGCTTAGTACTGTAAGTATAAAAATGGTAAAATAAGTTGGTAGGAATAAGAGCCCCCCGCCGTGGAGAACACTTCTTACAAATCTGGAGGAAGAGAATGTTCTATTAGTGTGTTGTCACTCATTCTCTTCCGCCATACCACATTCCCTCCCAACCTTTACTCTTTAAAAAGTTTTCTTAAAGTATTTTGTCATAATATGCATGAAGTACACAAAAGGTACAGAGAATAACAGAACATGCATGTACCCATCGTTCAACTCCTAAATTCTAACATTTTGCCCTACTGGCTACTTTTTGGGGTTGTTTAAATTCTGTGATAGGTTAGAGTTTAAATAGTATATAGAACATACCTGTATGGCTTAAAGAATAATAAAATGCATACTTAGATAATCTCCAGCAAACCTGAAAAATAAAGCATTACTCCTACCTTAATAGCCCCTCTGTGTTTGCCTCGCTAATGTTGACAGTTTGACTGAATACAGAGTTCTAAGTTGAAATAACTTTGCCGCAGAATTTTGAAGGCACTGTTCCATTCCTGTTTGGCGTCTAGGATTGCTGTTCAGACATCTGATGCCATTCTGCTTCTCTAGCCTTTGTGTGTTAACCTGCTTTTCACCCTCTATGGAAGCTCTTTGCCCCTGGTGTTTTGAAATTTTACAATGATGCATCTTGTTGTGGGTTTATTTTTATCTGTGTGTTGAGCACTCTGTGAGCCTTTCCAATCTGGAAATTCCTGAACTTCTGCTCTATGAAATACTATTATATTACTTTTTTTGCTGTTTGTCTACATTCCCTACTTGAATTTTGGATATGATGGGATGGTGTCTTAACTTTCTTTTATTTTCTCTTATTTTTTTATCTCTTCGCCTTTTTGCTCTACTTTCTGGGAGATTTTCTTATCTCTGCTTTAAGTTTCTCTAATTTATGTTATGTTTATAATTTTCAGTGGCTCCTGTGAGATAATATATTGGTCTCTGCTCCTGGTTCCTGGCACAGAAGTGCTTAGGAAACTTAGAAGAGCACCAGGAACATCTTTTGTTCTAATGAGGTGACTCTAGGGGGGTTGCTGGATGGGGGTTGGTCGCCAGAGAGACCAAGCCATGATTAGAAGCTTGGAATTTTCAGCCCCACTCCCACTTTCCTAGAGATGGGAGGGAAGCTGAAAATGGAATAACTGATCATGCCTACATGAGGAAGCCTCCATAAAATCCCAATAACATGGGGGTTCAGAGCACTTCCCCGTTGGTGAATACATCCACACCAGGAGGGTGACATACCCCAAAATTACACAGGGACAGAAGCTCTTGCCCTCAAAACCTTCTCAGAACTCCTCCTACGTATCTCTTCATCTATATCCTTTATCATATCCTTTAATAAACTGGTAAACGTAATAAGTGTTTCCCTGAGTTCCAGAAGCTGCTCTAGCAAATTAATCAAACTTGAGGGGAAGTCATGGGAACCTCTGATTTGTAGCCAAATCTGACCAAAATTGTGGGTAACTTGGGAACCCCTATTTGTGATTAGCATCTGAAGTGGGGATCTGTCTTGTGGGCCTGAGCCTGTATCCTGTTGGATCTGATACTCTCTCCAGGTAGATAGTGTCAGAATGGAGTTAAATTGCAGAACACCCAACTGGTGTCGTGGAGAATTGTTCGGTTTGGGGAAAATTCGGCACACATCTAGTGACCAGAAGTCTCAGAAGTGACACAGAGAAGTGCTCTGTGTGAGTAGTCCAGGAGAAAGGCTCAGGAGGGGGAAACTAGTGGTTTTTCTTACACAGCTCCTTTTTCCTGTCCTTTTAATAAAGCATCTTATTTTTTTTTTTTTACAGCTGCACTATGTTATTTATCGCTCTGAATATATAAAATAACTTAAACACGTATTTTTCTCTCCTTTGTGTGGTTTGTTTTCTTAAGAATGCTTTTTTATGTTTCTTTGTTTTAGGTCTGCTTCTGATATTCCTCAATACCTCATAGTGTTCCCTGGCTGCTAGCTGTCATTTAAGAACGGGGTGTTAAAAAAACGTTTGGAGCTCCACGTCCACGCAGGGGGCTTACTGACCACAAGTTTGCTTCCAGGTGTTTTGGTTAAACCATTTCACTGGGGAACGGCTGGCATCTGTGCCTATGGGTGCTTGCGAGGACCCCAGGACAGATTCTTCCTTTCTCCTTCCTTGCCAGGCAAACCTGATTGCTAATGTTTCAGAGCCAAGAGGCGGGTGGAGGAATGGTGGTATCCGCATAGCTACAATGTAAACATTTCATTCAATTGGTTAGGTTTTCATGGTTAGGTTTTCATTGCTCAGCTATGCCCCGAGACCTCCAGTCGAGAAACACTGTGTTCTCTCCTCTGGGGGAGACACCTCCAGTGCTCTGCTGAAGAAGAAAAATAGCAGTCCCCTGGCTCTATGAGTTACAAGGCTTTGGGTATCTTACTAATTCTTCAACATTGAGTAAATCCTCCTTTTTGAGGCCCAACTTTATTCCCACTTCCAAAATTATCAGATACTGCCAGTGCCGGGCTGTTTGTGGGTTTTGAGGTATATGCTGGGTTGCTTTTTCTACTTTCTCTACTGTCATTTTAGAGTAGGAAGCATCTTGAGTTCTGCTAAGTCCATCTAGTTTCAGATTCCTAGTCAGACTTCTCATTCTTTTTGTTCTTGTTTAAAAAAACCTTTATTTTTATTCTTGATGTTCTGCAGTTGATCTGTGACAAGTTTAGGGATGGATTTCACTTCTCTTGCTTGGAGTTCCTTATGTACCTCCACGTGAAGATCTGTATCTTTTACAGTACTAGCATACTTTCAGCTACACTTAAATATATTTGTATCTCCTACTAGCAGTTCTAATGTACGTATCATTGTGCAGAATTCTGGAAAATTTTTTTAATCATCTAGCTTACTTATTCACTCTTCTGTGTCTATAAACTGCTTTTAAATTGTTATGTAGAGATTCCTTTTTTTTTTTTTTTTTTTTTAAGATTTATTTATCTGACAGAGAAAGACAGCGAGAGAGGGAACACATGCAGGGGGAGTGGGAGAGGGAGAAGCAGGCTTTTTGCGGAACTGGATCCCAGGACCCTGGGATCATGACCTGAGCCAAAGGCAGACGCTTACCATCTGAGCCACCCAGGTGCCCCGTATGCAGAGTTTCTAATTTTAATTATTATGTATCTTATTCCTAGAATTTCTATTTAGTTCTTTAAAAATAATTTCTTTAAACATGTTAAACATGCTTGTTATCATATACTCCATAGCCTATAATTTCAACATTTGGCCTTTCATTTTTGTTGCGATGATACTCCGTTTTCTTGTTTTTGTTTCTCCTACTTGTAGTGGCTTGTTCTGTACTATGTTCTGAGATTTTTCATTCTTTACTCCTGTTTCTTGGAAATGTATTTATGAGAACTCTTTGAGACTTGGATTTAAAACATCTGCATTTTTCCATACATTCTACCAGGAACACTGCCAATCCAGGACCACATTAATGTAAATTTTTAGTTTGGGCATTTTGAGCCATATACAGAGTATCAATTCTGACCCTAAACTCGTGTTGACAGCTACCCTGAGGTTAAATATTATCAGGACTTCCTACCCTCATCCGGAGTTAGTGCAAAGGGAGCCAAGTTTCTTTACTATTTCCTTTTTTCTTAGTTATCCCACTGAGAGGTTTTTGCTGTTGTTGAGAAAAGGTCTTAAGTAAGAATTTCTGTACCAAATGGGTCCTCAAGTTTATCTGTTATCACTTATATTAAGCCATTAAATCTGAACCTGTAGACCCTCTAGAATTAGATCATGGTCTGCCATGCACTTCCCCCCTTGAGTGGAGGAAATTAACCAACACCTTGTTCTGCAACATGGCCCTCTTCCGTAGTTCACATTATGGTGAATCAGATCACATGAGTTGTAAGCAAACCAGGGATTATCTCTAACCTTAACAAGCTCTATCTCAAAAAGACATATAAAACATCTAAACACCCACAAAAATACACAAAAAATTACATTTAAGTTTAAATGTATGAATACTTATTAAGCATAAAGGAGAGAAAGATGGAACTGACTTGTGGGAAAGGAATCCTATAGCATGAGGTGAACATACACAGGCAACTATGGCAGTGAACCCAGCCTGGCTGTCCTCATTTAACCCTCAGCTGCACGCTGACGAAACATTCACTTCCCGTTTGGCAGCTGGAACATTTTTAGCAGCCATGGAGTCCAGACATGCACACATTTAGCTCCTCAATGCTGCTCCTGATTGACAGTCCCTAAAATGGAATCTCTGGAAATTTGGTCATTTAGAGTCTAAAGCAAAGTGTATTGTTCCTTTTTCCAGCCAATGTTATTCAACTGCATTCCTCATACAGCCTTAAAATTGCATGGTGCTAAGCATGGATTTTTCC